AGATCGTGCAAACAACATCTAAATCCCCTCAATCTTCATCTTTCAAGGTAATTTTTCTAAACTCTCTATTTCATTGTTTTTGAACATAGGATTAGTTTTAATTAGTTCTAGGTTGAATTAGTGATCGGGCATTGATTGTTTAGTGAATAGAAACTAGATGTTACAACTAATTTCATCAAAAACACAAGAATTTTCAAAAACTTTTAAATTTTCGAAATTAATAAAAAAAATTTGTTTTTTCAAATTATTGTGTTTTGATTAAATTATGTTGTTATGAAAACTATACATATATTGTTTCTCAAAACCATATTTTTCAAAAGTTTCTCAAAAACTTTGCCCATTAGGATTGATTTAGAGAACCTTGAAATATTGAGGACTCAATTGAGTTTTGGGATTAATTAAATTGCGTACATTTGTTTTAAAATTGCAGGTTATTCTATCTATTCCGATTTCCTTCACCATGTCAAATCCTAAACGTCCTAGGTCTTCATCTAGTCGTTCTAGTCGTCAACCAAATCCTCCTCCTATTCCTCAAAATCCTATTCCAAATCTTGATCCTAACTTGACTATCCAAAATTCTTGTTTCAATCAACCGGGTCCTAAAGATTATCGTTATTGGTTTTACCAATATTTTGGCTCGTATCAATGAACTCACTCACGAAATGGCTGCTATGCGAGCCCGTTTTCCTCCTACCGATCCAGATGTTTGATTATGTGTTTAGTTTTAAGACTTTGAACAAAAAATATTGTTTCAACATTTTGGATATTTTGGATTGTTTGATTTTGTGGATTGTTGGATTTTGGATTTATGAATAGTGTGAACTTATATGTTTTATTCATTTTTGCATCATCATTAGCAATATGACCAATTTTTCCATATCACATTATTTATGAATATTGATTTATGAAACTAATGGCTAACCTCTCTTTTGATTGTGATCTTAGCAGCTTAAGCTTATAATTAATAAATCAATTGGCTAAATGATTTTAAAACCTTGTTTTACAATGTCTTTTTGATTTAACAAAAAGGGGGAGAAGAATAAGTGTTAAATGTTTTACATGATAAATTGAAGAAGTGTTAAAGTAAGGGGGAGTAATTTCAAAACTTGATTTCAAAAATCTTAAAATTAGTAAAATGTTTTGTTATATCAAAAAGGGGGAGATTGTTGAAACATTTTGATATTTCGATATAACAAATTAAGTTAAATGGATTTTAAGATTTTCCAAATGATTTTCTAAGTATATTCGATATAACTATTCGAATATCAAAACATTACTCCAAATATTTCAAAAATCATTTTTAATCCTTACTTAAGTGTAAAATTAAGTTTTAATCATAAAACAATTTCAAAATAATTTTACAAAGTATTTCGAACCAATTCAAAGTCAAAAATTCCAGATTGCTCAGAGGGAACCGATTCCCCCCCATAGGAGGAACCGATTCCCCCCTGAATGGTTTGGCTCCGAGATTTCCAGAATGCTCGGAGGGAACCGATTCCCCCATAGGAGGAACCGATTCCCCCCTAAACATTTTTGTTCCGAGAATTCCAGTATGCTCGGAGGGAACCGATCCCCCCCAAGGGGGTACCGATTCCCCCCTTGTACAACGGTCGAAATATTTGAATTTTACACTTAGGAACCGATTCCCTTCAAGGGGGAACCGATTCCCCCCACACTCCAAGCTGTTTTATTAAATGTTTTCACACTAAAACGGCTATAATATCTTCTCTAATCATCCCCAACATTCAGAAGTGATCCAAGGTGTATTTAAGCAAGCTTAGAAGCCATTGATCAACAACAAGAAACATCAAGCAACTAGAATCAAGAGAGAATCAAAGAGAAAGCATCAAACCTCAAGTTTGAGCATTTCAAGCCTATTTTCATTCAATATTCATTTTGCTTTCAAGAACACTTTTTGTGCTCAATTGTATTCATCTTTGAGTGTTCTTTTCTTTGTTCTAGAATTGTGCAAACATCTTACCTTGTGAGGTTTTCTTGTAAGTTTGCAAATTTGTAATCTTCTCTTTGAGAAAAGAGTGTTCTCAAGAGTTGGGGTATACTCTTGAGGGAATTGTAAGGTTATCTCTTTGGCCTCAAAAGAAAGAACAAATTAGTGAATTTGTTGGAAAATCCTTAGTGTGGATAGCTAAGGTAGTGGACATAGACTTTGTTTGAGAAAGTCGAACCACTGTAAATCGCTGTGCAATTACTTTCAATTTTCTGCAAAAGCTTCCACAAAATTTTTTATTGCCAATTCACCCCCCTCTTGGCCAATTTCATCATTCGATTAACTCAACACAATTAAATAACCATATGAATAAATACATGAACTAAGGAACTGAAAAGAGGGCAGCAAACCACTGATACATTCAATATAGTTATAGACAACAAAACCATAATTCTAAAGATAACTGGAAAAAAATGACATTGATGGAAATGGGAAGAGACGTGATTAGCCTTACCAACGGGTTTTTATTGAGGGACCAGAATCAATCATCTCTATCAAAACACATCCATTGTTCCTTTGTTTTCATCTTTGCACATAAACCAATTTTTCCCGATCCATTTTTAAAAGTAGCTCTATGTTAACGGTGATTTCAAAAGTAAATCCTAGACACACCCAAATATTAACAGTGAAGCCGCAAAATAAGAAAAATCAGGCTACCTCGATTTAGTTATCGACATGAACTGCAGGACTTTGATCCCACGACTTCCCTCCAGTTTATGTTGTTACAAACAACAAAATCATATTACATGATATAAGAACATTTTCATTTTGTAGTAAATTTTATCTGTAATAATATCTCATATGAAGAAAATATACCTTAATCGTTTATAAATGGAGGAAAATGGTTGGTACAGAGTCGAGGTTTACAACTAAGATAAAACATACAGAGTTGGAGCACCACCAACTTTCTTCTTCTTCCTCTCCTTCGTTTAAAAAGGAAAGAAAATATATGTTGTCTTGAAGGTTTTGAGGGATGGGTTTTCTCAGAAGAAGTCGAAAAAATGGTGGCTTTTGATTCCATGAAAACATTAGAGGTCAAAAACCAACTTTTAAACAAAGCTTGTGTTTAGATTCCAATTTTGTAACTTCTTCCTCCATTTTCTTGTTAGCCAGACATAACCCATTTCAAAATTCCAATTTCGAATTCTCAAAAATCAAAATTTAACATGGGAAAGAAATTAGCGAAACAGAAAACATAATGCAAAACACAAAAATGCTTATGCCTGAAAACAAAATTGCAGGATACATCTAAGTAAACATCAAATACAAAAGCATTAAACTAAAAATTCAAGAATCAATTATAAATTTTCAAAAAGATGAATCAGATGCATAAATGCAAACAACATGGAAACATGGGATATATATCAAATGTATAATCACTAAGTTGCAATGACTACGAAGAAGGGGAAATCTAAGGTAAGATAAGGATACTTAGAAGTCAGTAGAATCTCAAAATCCCAAAATCTCGTACACGCTAATAACTTCCAAAATAAAATCCCAAATCTTTTCTGGTTATACTTTCTTATCATACACTAAATTATAAACATCTTGCTAAATTTAACAGATAATACTATTTGATAAAGCAAAGAATAATCAGTTTGGGACATTGATTCTTTAGAGAAAAAAAAACAACAGTAATGGGAAATGTAATGAACCACAAGAAGTAGCTAAGACATTAACAGAAAAGAGACTGTAAAGACTTCATACCATACTATCTTAACCTTGGATCAACCGCGAATAATCAATAGCGCCATTTTTCACCTTCTTGGATTTACCCTCTCTCGCCCCATTCCTCTCAGACCTCCATGACTCTCGCGGCGACGAGCAGCACCAGTTTTGCGTGGATGGAAAAGATGAAAAAGGGGAAAGGGATTTGAAAAAATAGATGTAATGGCGAGAAAAAAAAGGCTTTCATAAGTGAAAAAGAAACTATGTTCGGTAGAGATGGGCAAGAGGAAAAAGGGGATCGTGGGAACATATGGAAAAGGAGAATGGGATTTGAACAATTAAAATTATCAAATATTGCGGCGTTTGTTGACAAAAATGCCATCATTTATCATTTTATAGCGGCGTTTTCTAGAAAACGCCGTTAAAGTACATGTTTTTTACGGCGTTTATGTAAAAACACCGCTACAATTCTAATTTTTTGCGGCGTTTATTGGAAAAACGCTACTATAGGTGAACCCTATTATGATGTTTTTTATAAAAATGCCGCTAAAGTACTAATTTATTGTGGCGTTCGTCGAAAAAACGCCACTATAGATGGACCTATTACGACGTTTGTATGAAAACGACACTAAAGTACTACTCTTTTGTGGCGTTCTTTGAAAAAACGCCATTACATATGTACCTATTGCTGCTTTTATATAAAAACGCCGCTAAATTACTACTCTATTGCGGTGTTTGTTTAAGAAACGCCGCTATATGTTTAAATTTTGTGGCGTTTACTTTCTAAACGCCGCTAAAAGCGCCGCTACAGAACAATTTTGTTGTAGTGTATATACTCAAAAAAGCATTATGTTAAGATTTAAAATTCAAGATATGTTTTAAAATTCAAGATTGATTTAACACCAAAATATCACAGAATTCTATTGGACAGACGGTTACAAGGAGAAAAAAATGAAATAAATCTACACCATGCCTTACAAGGAAATTGATTTGTACAACACTGCCTTGTCAAAAAGTCGAGTACCCCATGGTCCAGTCAACTCAACTCAGGTTTAACAATTTGTTTTAGATCATCTGACAAATCATATCTTTTAGGCTTATCATAAAATACAACTTTTTTTTTGATAAAATATGGGATGTCTAGTTAAAAACCCCCTCATAATCTTCATGCTAAAATAGTAACATGAAGGATATAGGAAGGAAGAAAAGAGTGACTCAAAAATTTATTAATAGAACACTTTTTACAAAACTTGTTCCATACACACACTACCCGCAACATACAACTCAAAACATAACATAATCACCCAGAACCACAACACAGAAATCATCCAATTCCATCTTTAGCCAACCCATTTGCCTCCCAATTGACAGATCTCAAAATATGCCTAACGATAACATCCTGTTCTACCACAAGAGAAGCAATATCTTTCACCATTGACTCGAACAACGGGGTGCAACGACCCAGATTTTTGATCCACTGCAGAGCAGTAGAACAATCTGATTCAAGAATGAGCCCTCCATTTGAATCAAAACCAGACACTACAAATAGAAACAAACCTCTTTTAATTGCCAATAATTCAGCAATGATAGGAGGATCAGGACCGACACTCTCTGAGAATGAACCAAATATCACACCATCATTGTCCCTGAGTAAACCACCAATGCCTCCTCTTGACCATCCTTTTACCATGTCACCATCCACATTTAGTTTGACAAAACCCGAAGGAGGAGGAACCCAATGCGACAAGGAAGAACTAGATTTCTTAGAACTCACCTCAAAATCTGTAACTTTTGGATCTCCCACAAGAGAATCAAAAGGAATTTTCACATCCGGAAATCTATATACAAACCAAGCTGTGTTCCTATATCTAACAAGGAAAAACAGTAGTGTTGCATCCAACTTAGCTTCCTAAAAAATAATCTCATTCCTACACTTCCGAACCGACCACATTTCTGCCCCTAGAATGAATGTCCAAATAGTGGAGCGTGGAACAAGATCAATCCAAACAGATATCAAAGCAGTCAGACTCTCCGGAACGACAAAGGAAACATTCCAAAAATGCAAGAATCTAGACCATAAACCCCAAACCACCTCACAATACAAAAATAGATGAGAAACAGACTCCGAAAACTTGTCACACAACGGACAAAGAGTATCCATGATCCATGCAACTCCTCTTTAACCGCTAATCTTTGATGGACAACCTGCCAAACGAAAGTTTCTACTCGGGGTGGGGCTACCCCTTACCAAACATGTCTATCCAAAATAACATTAGTATCCACCATCTCAAAATATTTCCTAATACAAGATTTAACTGAAAAACAACCCTTCCCATTCCCTGTCCAAACCCAACAGTCTTTCGCCGAAGCTGACAATAAAGAGTTATTCAGCATAGAATTAAGTAAAATACATTGATCTACCTCCCAATCAGCTAGGTTCCTTCTCATTTGTAAATCCCACACATATCCTAATGAAACATAGATCCTAAAATCAACAACTTTTCCCCCTTTTTTAACCGAGAGAGCAAATAACTTCGAAAATCAATCTTTTAAAGGTATAGAATCCAACCAAATGTCTTGCTAAAAGACCACAGACTCGCCATTACCAATTCTTAAACACATAATATTTCTGAGGCATTCTCCAAAATCATCGCTTGAATAAAATTTTTTTACCACCCCTCTCTAAATCCACGAAACACGAGAGGAACTTGAATTATCTACCATGCTTGCGTTCGGATCCAAATTATGAACACAACATACAACCTTTTGTCACCAAGATTCTTTTTCACAGATAAATTTCCACAACCATTTTCCCAAAAGAGCCCTATTCAAAAAGTCCAGGTTTGGAATACCTAAACCACTCAAGTTATTAGGCCTATACACCGAAACCCATATAACCCAATGGATATTCCTTTTATATGTTGAACCCCCAAAGAAAAGGTGCCATTATAGAATTTAACTTATTCAAAACGCATACATATAAACAAAAGATAGAAAGAAAGTAGATGGGAAGATCACACAACACTGATTTCACCAATAACACCCTTCCGGCTAAGGATAGAGACGAAGTCTTCCAACCAGCCAGCTTATTATAAAATCTTTGAACAATCGGCTCTCACAAAGCCACCGAGTTTCTCTTAGTCCCAAGAGGTAAACCTAAATACTCTGACGGAAAAGTTCCCACCGAATAACCAATAGCCTTCAAAGTACAATGCATGATTAGTCAGTACCAATCGACCTACAAACAAGCAAGAACAACCTCAGAGCAGGCTATTTGCTAAAAATGAAGTGAGGGGATCAATAAATAGGGGAAAAGAAAGAATATTATTGTAGAAATGACTATCATCAAGGAAAAAAGAAATAAAATTGTATTACATACAATGTTTGCTATCCGATCAACTTACCTAGCCATGTTGATACTCCAACATGTTCGAGAACTGGCTGAGTAGTGTCTGTCCCATCCACCTAAAGTATCTTTTCTCCTCTTGATGCTCGAACAACAGACAGAAGAGAGGACTCTGTTTGGCTCTTCATCCTTTTTATCCCACTGTAGAATATATTTTAGAATACCATATTTAGACATGCAAACCTACTAAGTAGAGAGATACTAACACAAATTACTAAGTCTCTGATTACTACAAAACTTCTACGGACAAACTCAAAACAACAAACTGAAGAGAGGTGTAGTGAGCAATTAAATAAAAAAAAGGTCATGATAGGATCCTTGATTTAAGGATTTACTATTTTAAATAATTGATTCCTCAATATGATGAATTTATATTAGAATATTTCATTTCCTTAAATGTTTTCTATTTCCTTGTGCGAGAACCCTAATTCTTGGTCACCAAGGATTTACTATTTTTTACTGTAGGGGTATGAAGAAACCATTAAGCAATTTGTTGTTGAATGTGATATTTGACAACATGACAAAAGTGAGATAATTGTACCCCTGATTTACTCCATCCTATACTGATTTATGAGGAGGTGTGAATTGATATATTTATGGATTTCGTTGGTCTTCCGATATCTCAAAGGAAAAACCACCATCTTTGTGGTTGTGGATCATCTCACAAATAATTCTTATTTTTGTGCTATTTGACATTCTTATACTAACGCAACTGTTGCTAGTATTTTGTTGAAAATATTGTGCGATTGCATGAAATACCGAAATCCATAGTCAGTGATAGAGACAAGGTCGTTATAAGTACCTTTTGGAAGGAGCTTTTTCAATTACAAGGTACTCATTTGAATATGAGTATTGCTTATCACCCACAAAATGATGGGCAGAATGAACTAGTGAATCAGTGCTTAGAGAACTATATTCGATGTTTCATAAGTGACAAGCCAAAAGATTGGGTTAAGTGGGTACTATGGGCAAAATGGTGGTATAATGGCTACATATCACTCTTCAGTAGAGATGATTCTATTTGAAGCAGTCTATAGTCGACTTCCTACTATGATTGCTAAATATGTGTCGGGTTCTTCTAAAGTCAATCAAGTGAACAGGGAAATGTGTGATAGAGATAAGGTGATCAAACTTTTAACAGATAATCTAGTAGCTGCACAGGCTCGAATGAAGCAACAAGCAGATAAACACAAAACTGAACTAGAGTTTGCAGTAACAGATTGGGTTTATCTTTCCCTTCAGCTGTATAAGCAAGTTTCCTTAAAGGTTCGATCTTCTATGAAGTTATCTCCTCGGTTCTATGGGCCATATAAGGTGTTGGAGTGCATTGGCTCATTAGCATACTGATAAACTTGCCTATCAATTCTAGGGTCCATCCGGTCTTTCATGTTTTGTGTCTAAACTCTCAAGAAGCAAATATGAGAGGATAATGTAATGCAATCTACCAGACATTGCTATTGCATGTGAAATCCAAATCACACCTCAAGCCATATTGGATAGGCGTATTGCGAAACACCACAGATATTCTACTACTGAAGTACTTGTTCAATGTGATAATTTACCAATTGAAGATGTTACTTGGGAATCCTACAAGTCGTTGGAAAAGAAGTTTCATGAGTTTGTGGCTGCTCAGCCTTGAGGACAAGACTGTTTCGAAGAGGCAAGGAATAAGGGATATTTTAGGAATTCACTATTTTAAATAATTGATTCATTAATCTTATGAATTTATATTAGAATATTTAATTTCCTTAAATATTTTCTATCTCCTTGTATGAAAACCCTAATTCTTGGTCACCAAGGATTTATAAACTCTGTAAATATGTTATGCCCTATTGTTATTTTCTCAAGCAATAAAATATCTAAAAAAAGCTTTTTGACAACTGTTTGATCCCCTCGAAGTGATCAAATTTTACCATCTCATGTTAATTTTCTCAATTCCCTTTTGATAGAACACTAGATTCTTATCAGATCAATAGATATGTACAGGGTAAGCAAATTATACTATACTTCTGAGAAGAGCTTAGCATATCATATAACTTGCCACTGCCAATTGATTTTGGTTAAATTTTAGCTTGGTATAACAGAGGCCGAATTATTCATAGACCTATGTGTTTCAATTTTTTAGCATCAAGATTAAATGCAAAGCAGAATGTTAATGCTTTTATCAGTCGATATTAATTTTAAGGTTTATTGTTACTTAATATAATATCAAATACTAAAGACAGCATAACAAGTATTATCAAGAGTATTATAGAACCCTCAAACTTGACATTCGAGTTTCAATTATATTGAGGTAATGTGTAACCAAAAAGTCAAGATAAGCCAACAGATTATCTTGACATTTTATTCAGTAAAAAACCATAAGAAAGGGATTAACCATGAAATATATGGAGAAAGGACACACAACACACCACCTTGACTATCATGCACTAAAGCAAACTATTTTAACCAAGGATAAACTAAAATGGACATAAAACTTCAAGTTCAATTGATATACTTTATTGGTAATAATTCAGATTTCTTAGCCTCTAACCTTAAAGAGATGTCATCTGATAATAAAAAATAATGTTCCTGCCTGTCCATAATTCTGACCTAACATGATTAGAGACTAAAAATATATCAACAAATTTCCCCACTTTGCAACTACCAGCAGAAGTCAAGCCCCAAAAATCTAGTGTGAACTAGACTTGATTTTACACCATCAAGTCGATCGTTATGATTACTACACATTAGAACAATTGAAAAATTGCATACAATTTTCAACTCCCTTTCTCGCAAAATTTTCAGCAGTTGTCCCTGAAGCTTTACTAGGCAAACTATACTTTAAAAGAATACCAGTTCAAGACTTACAAACACTTCTAATGTAGTCCCTCTAGGTTGGCTATATATCCTCATAATATCCCTCTAGGTTTTTAAGTTATTTAAACCTTTAAGGAATATAAGATACAAAGAGAACTTTCATTTGAACAGTAAAACCTTGCAGTAGAAACAAATAATTGGACCAAACCAGAAGAAGTGGTGGAAGGAAACATATCGAAAACCTTACCTTTCTAGTCCACTTAGATACTTGTCATAGACTGAGAAATGAAGTCGACCGGTGTTGAGATTGTAAGAACATCGAAAAGATTTTCACAAATAATCACATTGGCAATGATTGGAACTGCTGGTGCTATAGGAGTGAAGGCCTCCACCCCAACTGAGAGATCATCTAACTGCATTTAAGACAAATGCTCATTAAAAAGTTTCAGCATCAAATCTAAGGTTTATTGGACAATTAAGGGCACAAGAAAACCAATTAGCCAAATGTCTAAAACCGGCTTAAACGTGTTCAGAAAATTTGTGTTACATGAACTTGGATTTGGGAGTCCGATAAGGGTAAGTATCTAGAGGTTGAACATCTGGAGTCATCTGAAGTTTTGGACATCTGAAGTCATCTAAAGTTTGATGGAAATAGAATATATATACAGGATCTGTTATTTTAAAATGTCTTAAAAATATATTAATACTGTATAGTATAAATATTGTATTAATTGAAATAGAATTAGGACCAAGCTAACAACAATTTGAAAGGGATAATTTGGAGTATTAACTCTTGGATAAACCCAAGACCACACCATACATTTTTTCCATCCAAACTAACTTTGAACTTTAAAGGCTGAAAGAAGAAACTTCAGATAATAATTAGGTTTGTCGCAACCTATATTCAGAGATATTTGTTACATATTTACTCAAAGGACAATGAAAAATTAAAAACTCCTATTCATTTCTATTCTTAATAACTTTTTTAGAGCAATTTATGTTTAATTCGTGGATGGGAATTTTTTATCTAAGAAAATTAAGTTTCATACAAATGCAGGTCCTCTAGTAAGAGAAAACTCCCATTATCCAACAATTTCAATCTCCTGCATATGGTTAAATAGGGTTTCAACTTGTATTTCATAATCTATTTGTGTTGTGTAATGTCAACACATATGTCGTCTTCTATGAAGCAGACATGTAGGAATTATAGAGATATATGATTTGTTATCATTCCTTTAGTTAAGGGATTCTGTAAATAGTTTTCTACAATCTCTTATTTTAAGGAATCATATCTTCTAGGATTAGTATCTTTTCTTACTTAGAGTTTCCTACTTTAGAGAGATAATTTGTATATAAAGTTGTAATATGTCCTATTGAAAATAAGAAAATATAGAGAATTACTCTAATTTCTACATGGCATCACATTAGGTTACGGTTTCTTTCCAACCTACACGATGTCCACAACTTCTCCTAATTCGAAGATCACTTCGAATCCAGAAAATCTTTCTGATTATGCTGCTCAATCAGAAGGTAATCTGTTCATGAAAGAACCAGAAGGTAACTCTTATGCTATAGTTTTTTTCTCCTCCCAGTTGACCCCTAATTGGATCCTCGATTCTGGTGCTACGGATCATATGACTGGTAATAAGGATTTGTTTTGCAATTTTTTTTCCAAACTTTAGTAAAGCTGTCAAAACAACTGATGGTTCCTTGTGCAAAATAAAAGGACATGGCACTGTTATTCTCAATGAACATATTGTTCTTAAAAATGTCATCTTCGTACCAAATCTGGCTTGCAATCTCGTTTCAGTTAGTAAACTTTCCACCGACTTGCACTGCTCTGCAATTTTTACCGATATTTTTTTTGGATAGGAATTGAAGGCCTCATTAAAAACCCCCTTCATGATTAAAGAACTCAAAATGAATTCCTTAATCAGAGGAAGGAGGAAAAGAGTGTCTTATACTTCATTAATAAAAAGTTACATAAGATTTACAACATAAAGATAAAATCCTTACAAACAATCCTATAACCCAAAATAAAATACCCCTAAAAACACATTAAAATTAACCAATACCAGACTTAACCAACCCATTAGCCTCTATATTAGTTGTCCTAGCAACCCATCTAATAACACCCTCCACTTCTTTAAGCTTAATTGCTATATCCCTGACAAAAAAGCATAGAAATAAGGACACATAGCTCCATTCTTAACCCATTCCACTACCATTTTACAATATGATTCTATAATCAACCGACCCTTTATAACTCCTCTCACTGAATCAAAGAAATATAATCCATTCTGAACAGCCTTTAACTCCATCAAAATAGGTGGACCCGGACTAGTAGCTTCCTTAAAAGAACCTAGAAGTAGACCTTCATCATCTCTTAGAATACTCGCAATTCCACCGCTCTTCCAATCACAACTGGTAGTTGCGTCCACATTCAATTTGACAAATCCCTTAGGAGGGGGACCAAGGGATCGTAGAGATAATCGATTTGTTGATAGGGAAACATGAATCCCCAAGGGAAGGGTCACTGATAAGAGAATCCATAAAAATAACAGAATCTACAAACTTAGCTAAGAACCAAGATGCAAGCCTAACTCTTGCTAAGAAAAATAAGTTAGTTTGGTCTAACATCTCTCTTTCAAAGACAATATCATTCCTAACTTTCCAAACAGTCCAAATAACAACAGCCAAAATAAATTTCCAAATAGCAGAACTAGTATTTAGTTCTTCCCAAGCTAGGAGGAAGTTCTGCGCAATGTCTTGAAAAAACGAACTAATCCTCCAATACTGCACAAAATTGTTCCAAAGTGACCATACGACAGAACAAGAGAAAAATAAATGAGAAGAATATTCATCCACCAAATTACATAGAGGACAAGAAAGATCTATAATACCCGTAACCCCTCTTTTAACCAGTTCAGTCTTCACTGGCAGTTTTTGAAGAACCACCTGCCACATAAAAAACTCAACTCTTGGTGGCACCAATCCTTTCCATAAAATTTTCTTCTAAAAAGAATTCTCCTAGGAAGCCAAGGAACAAATCTTCACACATGAATTTATAGAGTAAACACTAGCTAACTCCCCCATTCTCAAGAAAAATGGCATTATGATCTGACACAGACCTTGGTAACAAAAATTATGTAGTTTCAGGAAATGCTTCCAGAAAATGGACATCAACTAGGAACCTGTCCAGTTTAACAAAAGTGGGTATATCCTGGTTGTTACACCATGTGAACCTACCCCCATGTAAAGGTAAATCAATTAAACATGTATGTTAAACAAAATGATTGAAAATCCCTATTGAATTTCTATTTTGAGCTTCCCAACCTTCTCTTCTTTTGATAGATACACATTAAAATCATCTCCCACACATAGAGAGATATTCTATCCATAAATAAAAATAGCTAACTCTTCAAAAAAGCTAGCTTTTTCTTCTTCAACAGCAGGCCCATAAACATTAATAAAACAACATCTAAATTGTGTAGATCAAAATTTCCCAAAAATACCGATAAACCTTCTGTTTATAACATGATTCTCCACTTCAAACGTGCACTCATCCTAACAACTCAACAAACCTCCAGAAGAACCTACTGTTGGAGATGCTGCAAACCCTTAAATGGTATTCAAACCACTCCTCCTTAAAAGATTTCTCTGAACCTTCTCCCATTTAGTTTGTTGCAGTATAAGAATTATAGGGCGTTTCTTTAAAACTATATTTTGAACAGCTCTGTGTTTTTCCTTTCTTCCCAATCCCCTAACATTCCATGTAATAATGACTAATTGAATTTTCATCATAAATAAATAAAGTACCAGAACACCCACAAAAAATAGAGGCTTAGAATATTCCTCCAACTTTATGATTTTTTCCAAAAAAAGTTGACTTTATATCCTTGAAAGACACCCCCAATAGCTTTTTGATTTCCCAAGTAGCTAATGCTTCTTCTAAGAGAACCGAAAAAGCTAAAGAATAAACTGTTGTAGTGCTAACTTGATCCAATGCATCCCTTATTAATAATATTTTGGCTCTTGTATTAAAGGTCTTAGAATTGAAATCAAAGTTATATCCATCTGAGAACCACCCTTCACACATATTAACCAAACTTCTGTCAGCAATTTGCCTCTCCAAAGTAGACTCCACACAGCCTTCCATATTAACTTCTACTACTGCACTGACTGACATAACTGAATTTGGATCCAAATCATTCTCCTTGAGCCTTTCAAGAGCTTCCTCTTCTGCATGAATTACAAATTGGTCATTCCTGAACCAATGTCTTCTCTCTCTGGATCTTTTATACACCCTTTTATAACTAGCAGTTCTTCTCCTTTCCAACGGCTCACTCCTTGTAATTAAAGAAGAATTAGATCGATAAAGTGATATTCCCTAGAAATCCTTTTTCCAGAATATACATTAGACTCAATCAACTTTAAATCTGTTGTTAACTCCACTCCTCCATTGCAGTCTATCGAACAGATATGTGGCAGACCTCCATTATTGTCTTCCTCTATGTTAGTTGATTCAACCAAAAATTGATTCTGGTCCATTTTCCTAAACCCATTTAACTTAATAATTGGCCCATCTGGAATAATCTTTAGAATTATAGAATCAAGCTGTCAATTTTCTGCTGACTGGGCTATAGACCAATTAGCGGAAAAATTTGAAAATCTGCATCATAAACCCGCATATTCCCCCAAATTGTTTCTCCCAAGATCTTGACAGTCTGACATCTCACAATTAATGTCTTTCCCATCTTTGCTAAGCATTAGGAGATGAATTTCCCCACCCACTCCAACCAAACCCATGTAGGTTCCTGGTCAAACCATGTATCTACCTTTTATCTGTTGTGTTCTTCTAATTGTTCAGCATTTTCCATACTTTTTGACAAACTCCTATCATCTTCCTCTCCAACAATCTTCTCACTAATTTGTCTTTCATCGGAGCCTCCCATCGGCGACTTGCTAGAAAAAACTGAGGAATTCTCAAGCAGCGAGCCCAGCTTAATCTTAACTTTAAAAGACCTTCCATAAGATCCAAGTGTTATCACCTTCGGGACATCATAAGGGCTCGTCACCCTAATCAAAATCTTCACCATCGAGAGGTCTTCTCTATTCTTTGTATCTTCATGAATATCTTCCACCGTTCCCCACTTCCCTGCTAACCTTTCCAAAAAAGAGTTATTCCAACATAATAATAGAACCCCAAATAATTCTACG